CTTAAATGTCATCTTTATGATAAATGAGGTAAAAAGAATATCCTGCAAAAGACTGTATTAGTATGTACAAGTATAGGGAAGAGACGGCCTCTACCTCACTCCGCTGGGGAGGAGGCTCTTTTCAGCCAGACTGGCTGACCTGCTTGACCGGGCTTTAAACTAAGCCTGCTGGGGGATGGGTGGATAACTGCCAATGCAAGCCCACCAGGCAACTACTGCATAACCAGCAGGTTAGGGCACCCAAGGGAATCCACACCTACCCCAGCCCTGGAACGGTGTCCACCAGGGAGTGCAAGGAAACCTAGGGCTTCCAATGGGATACTTAGATGTCTGTACACCAATGCCAGGAGCTTGGGGAACAAACAGAAGGAACTGGTCCTCCTGCTAAACAAGAAAGACTACCATCTCATAGGCATAACGGAGACCTGGTGGGCCTCCACCTATGACTGGGCCACAGGTATAGATAGCTATACCCTGTACAGGAGAGATCATGCAGATAAAAGGGTGGGGGTGTAGCTCTCTATGTCAAGGAAAGCTACACGTCCCTGCAAATTGAAATTGGCACCCAGGGAGGACGACTGGAGTCCCTCTGGGTTAAAATACGTGGGGAACGTGGCATGGGACATGGTAGGAGTCTCCTACAGACCTCCTAACCAGAAACAAGAGCTAGACCAGGAACTTACCAGTGAACTGGCTGAGGTTGCACGCTGTCAGTACATGGATGTCATGGGAGACTAACTACCCGGACATCTCATGGGAAGAGCACGCAGCCAAATCCAATCGGTCACAAAACTTCCTCACGTGTGTGGACAAGTTCTACCTGACTCAAGAAGTCTATGGGCCAACAAGAGGTAAAGCGTTGCTGGATCTAGTACTGGCCAAAGGAGATGATCTAGTCAGTGACCTAAGAATCGATGGAAAGCTGGCTGATGGTGACCACGAGCTGATCACCTTTACTATCCACTGCAAAGCTGGCAAGTCAGTCAGCAATGCAGAAGTCCTCGACTTTAGGAAAGCTGGCTTTGACAAGCTCAGGAGGCTTGCTGTCGAAGCCCTAAGGGACCATGACTCAACGGGAAGAGGAGTCCTAAAGGAGTGGTTGCTCCTCAAGGGAGCGATCCTGACAGCGCAAGCGTTGTCCATCCCATCTCAGAGGAAGGGTAACAAAAGGGCACAGCAACCCCCTTGGCTCAGCAGGGAACTTGACCTCCTTGAGGACCTGCAGCATGCTTATAGGCTTGGCAGTGCTACGCTCGCTAGCACCACTGCTGAAAGAGACTTGGGGGTCATGACTGACCACAAGATGAACATGACCCACAAATGTGATGTCGTAGCTGGTAAAGCAAACAAAACTCTGGCTTGCATCCATAAATGCTTCTCAGGTAAATCTCAGGATGTCGTCCCACTGTATTCGGCCTTGGTGAGGCCGCAGCTGGAGCACTGCATCCAATTCTGGGCTCCACAATTCAAGAAGGATGTCAAGAAGCTTGAGAGAGTCCAGAGGAGAGCCACGCACATGATCAGAGGGCAAGAGAATAGGCCTTATGATGAGAGGCTGAGAGCCATGGGACACTTCAGCCTGGAAAAGCACAGGCTCAGGGGAACCTGATGGCTGCCTATAAGTACATAAGGGGTGTGCATCAGGATCTGGGGGAAGTCTGTTCACCAGAGCGCCCCAAGGGATAACAAGGACCAGTGATCATAAACTCCTCCATTACCACTTTAGGCTGGACATAAGGAAAAACTTCTTTACTGTCCAAGCCCCCAAGGCCTGGAATAGGCTCCCTCCAGAAGTGGTGCAGGCACCTACTCTGGACTCATTCAAGAAATGATTGGATGCTTATCTTGCTGGGATCCTTTGACCCTAGCTGACTTCCTGCCCCTGGGGCCGGTCTTGATGATCTTCAAAGTCCCCTCCAGCCTTAACGTCTATGAAATCTATGGAAGTATAACAAAGGGGTATTTTGTTTTCTAAAATAAAGAAGAGACTCCCAGCAAGTCCTTTTTTTTTCCCCCCCTCCTCTTGTCTCCTATGCATATAAATCCTACCTAATCTTCTTTTCACTTTATCCCACCAGGATTCTATAGCTTGCTGTTGTACCAGTTTTCCCCTGGTTGTCTAGTACTTTGTAATACTGAGGGGAAAATGAGCAGAACTGATGAAAATTTGTGTTGAACAGTTCTACACGTTGAAATATGCAATGTTGTTTGTTTGGGATTCCCCCCCCCCAAAATCTTGGTTAGACATGGTTGTTGACCAGAGAAAGGGGGGGGATGTTTCTCCTCCTACCTTCACTGCTGTCTTAATGAATTTTAATAATCCTCTTTCCATCTTGTCTTACTGCGAAGTAAACCAAAAGATAAAAATTGCCGTTATGAACTTAAAATCTTCATATTAATGTCATGTATTTTTACTTCCACCATTACTAACTTTAAACTTTTCTTACCTTAGTTTGCTGAACAAATGGATAATCTTTGCTCCAGGGAAGACTTCATTGGCAGTTTTTGTCGCTATCATCTTATCAACCCATTCCTTGCAGAGAGAACCAGGCACAGCCCAATGCTGAAACATAGAGCCAGACACATTCAGCGACCAAAGATCAGTCTGAGATTTCTAGCCAGCTACAGGACTCTTCTTTCCTTGTTCATGATCTTCTTCATTGCATCCCAGTTCTGTATTGGACCACTGGCCTGCACTTTCCTTATTCTTCTGGCTTACCTTCTTTATGCAGTAGTGATGACTTTCTTCACTGAAAGATGGAAACCTCACCGGCATTAACTTTCTCTGTCAGCACATTCTTGTACAGGAAACATTCTGAGATACCAAGTTGTGTTAAGTGTGTGAAAGGTTTCAGTTAAGGATGCTTTTTAAAGTATTTTTAATATAAAAATTAAGCAGGTTGCTAAACACAGATGGGATTGTGTGGTTGTAGAGGCCACAGTAATCCAGGTACATTCTATTTTTATAAACTCTTTTCTACAGTTTAGTTAAAATGCTGAGTTAAAGCTATAGTATGTGATTTTGGAAAGTAAAGGTAAACCTCCACCATTTCTGGAGCCAACCACAAATGGTGAAATGAGTTGAGCCCAAACAAACAGTATGTAGCCTCACGTGACTATATACCATACTACAGCATTTTACTTATGCCATTTTAAAGAGAAATTAGATACTGAAGCTGCAGGGTTTATAATATATCATGGTGAGTAGAGGACTGTTTCAGTATGCCAGAGGCAACAGCAGTCATGGATCATGGGATTTGGACACAAAGCTGAATACCAAAATATCAACAGGATGTGAATGACAGTATAGCCCAGATTAACTTCAGCACAAGAAACTCAGAAGAAGCCCAAGGGTGAGGGGTTGGAATAGTTTGGCTCAAAGACGAGATAAGGGAGATGGAGAAGAGTATGTGCATGTGTATACATGCATGCACACACTTTTGCAACCCAAAATTTACTGCATTACAACTCAACACTTGAGGAAGAGCTGCCATATGCAGTCCTGTAGGCTAGCGTTTGCTTGTTAACTCTCCTTTTTTCTCTCTGAAAATTTGTCTTCACTGCTTACTGACTTCAAACTATGAGTCCTCTGCTGAGGTGAAAAATTCAGCTCATCTCAGCTAAGGCTCCACTAATGTGGGTATCCTGTGGTGCTAGCAATCAGCCCTCCCACAGTACTGCACCAGTGCCCCTTCGACAGCCTCTAGCATGGAGCTACCCCAGGAAGTGCTAAGTACCATGGAAGTGACACTTTACCATTACCTACAAAATGTTAAAGACAACTCTAAAGAGACATGGTTGTTGACCAGAAAGAAGTTTTTCTCCTCCTGTCTTCACTATGTTAACAAGTACTAAGTTTTGAAAGACTTGAAGCAAACTGGAAAAAAGAGCACTTCTGATTAACAGAGAGCAAGTGGCAGAGATCAGTCGGCTTAACCCCTTCTGTGAAACTGCCCGTGGGCGCTGCTGCGCTCCTCAGGGCCCGAGGGGCAGACAGAGGCAGTGGATACCCACTTGCATGATGTGGAATAAGTGTTCGGTTCACTGTCTCCTACATGCATTTAATGGATGCTTATAAATGTCAGTGTGGAAAACACCTAACCTGGCTCTGACTTGGGCCTTTTTTTTTTCTTTCTAGTACTGGGGGGCAGCGGTGCGTGTTCAGCGTGTCCCTTCTCGTTCCCAGCTGTTTCACCAGCCCCCGACCCCACGGGCGGCCCCGTTCAGCCCGGGGCGGGGGGGGCAGGCTTCTTCCCCTGCGGCAATAAACCCCCCTCGCTGCTTGGGTTTTTGTTTTTCAAAGCACAAAGTGTCTAGCGCGTTTTGGCTCCCTGCGGAGCAGCCCCCCCCCGGGCCGAGTCCGCCGCGGGTCTCCGCGATGCAGCGAAGGGGCCGCTTCTCCGGGCAGCGCAGCTCGGGAGAGCGAAAGGCGGCAAACGCGTGGGCGCCGCCGGGACGCTGCTCGCCGCGGGACCAGGTCGGACGCAGC